AGGGGAGACTGTGTGTGAGTTATAGGGATGGGACAAAGAGAGGACAGGACAAACTTGGAACAGTCCCACCAGTTATGATACCTGGCCTCCTAGATCCCTTCCCAAGCCCAAAACACCTTTTAAACAAAAACTCGCCAAGCCTCACAACAGTCCTGTGAGGTAGGTAAGCACTATGACACCCATCTTATAGATGGGGAAGCTGAGCCGGGAGAGATGCAGCCTGCCTATTAGTCAGCAGCTCCGCGGCGTGGAGGGTCGTGCTTCCCCCCCACCCGCCTGGACCACCTCGCTGATTCCTCTCCTCAGGAAGACAACCCAGGACCCTGCCCAACCCAGTGTTGCAGTTGGGAGGGGAGGCCCTGAGGCAGTCCCCATACACTCCCAGCCCTCCCAGGGCCCAGAGAACAAGTCTCAGAAATTCTGTGAGAGAGCCAGGGCCTGGGCGCAGATGGTGACCTCCATTCTCTCTCTCTCTCACACACACACACACACACGCCCACACACGCGCCCCTCTCACTTCTCCCACCCCAAGTAGACAGCACAATCGGACCTCTGGCAGGAGGGCCACTCCCAGCACCACTGCCTCCTTTGTCAGGGACCCCCTGCACCACCCCGGGTGAGGGCCCCTGGGGAGCCCTCAGCAGTGTCACAGCAGAACTGGCTGCAATGTTGGGCTGGGACCTGGGAGCTAAGGCACAGTCTAGCCCCAAACACAGGATGCAAACCAGTTCTTGGAAAAGAGGAGGACAGCTGTGGACACAGTCTCCCTGCTCCCCCCTACCCGGGACTGGAGAGGGGGTGGTGCAGCTGAGCAGGAGCCCCCAGGAGCCTAAGCGCAGGCTCATCCAGAGGAGGATGGCGGAGGAAAAGGCGAGCCCGTGACCTGGGCGCTGACAGACAGCCTTGGTCAGGAGGGAAGGTGTGGTGGAGGGACAGGAGGGGCAGCCAACAGGAGGGCAGGGCCTAACACCCAAGCTAGATGATGCCACCTGTCCTTCAGGGAAAGAGCAGGGCGGAGCCAGCCCAGGAGTCCCTGAGTGCCAAGAAGCAGCATGGCCAGCACTGGCAGGGCTGGGGTGGGCATTCCAGTGGCCCAAAGGCCCAGGACATTGGCTCTCCCACCTCTGCAGCCCTTAAATGCTAGGGGAGTGGGAGGCAGTGCCCAGCGCTCCGGGAAGGCCTGAGGGCCCCTTCACGAGCCCCCCAGGAACCTAGAGATCGGAGGAGCAGGCCAGGTGGGCCGGGACCCCAGCACCAAGACAGGCATCCCTAGTTGGGAGGTTTCAGAGTCTCGGTGCAGCAGGAGTTGGGGAGCAGGAGCTGTGGGCCCCGGGCAAGCAGGCATCTGCACTGGGGGTAAGAAGAGGCTCATGGGGGACACAAGACCAGTAACCCACCAAAACCTCTCACTGCAGCCCCCCAGCAGCCTCCCACCCCAGGATCCTATACGGAGTCTGTCAGGCCACTCCACTAGCCACACACACGGCCCAGCTACTGAGGCAGCCCTCACTAAGCCCCAAGTCTCTCTCGAAGAGAAGCCTGGACAGCAACCAAGGCATTGCTCTTACGGGGTGGGGAGAGTTAAGAACCACCTACCCAGGTGATGGGGGCCTGACCCCCACACTGCCTAAGCTTTCCACCGCCCCCCAACCAGCCCTTATCCTGGGGAGCCTTGGCTGGGGAGGGGTGGGGCAGGCTGGACAGGACCCGGTCCTCCCCACCCCAAAAGACTACAGTTGGAGCCAAGCAGCAATGTCTCAGGCATGTGGATTCACAGGCAGGCTCAGGCCTGTTTCCTCGCTGAGAGTGAGGCTCCCGGGGCTGCTGGCCCCGCAGAGCTCACACTTTGGCTGGCGGTTTCTCTTCGGCCTTGGAGCCTGGCAGCCCATTCTCCGTGTTGTCGTTCCCTGAGGAGCTTACGAGGCACTCCTTCCTGGAGGGGGGAGAAGGGCACTGGTGAGTGAAGGAACGGGAGTAATGGGTCAGGTATGGGGGGGGCGTGGGCCCTGCACCAGTCCCTCCCTGGCCTTCCAGAAAGCTAAGGTAGCCGGACGCCAGGACGCCTGCCTGACCACTGCACCTGTTTCCCCGTCTCTGTAACGGACGGACTGACACCACCTCTTTGTGGGGCTGCAGGGTGAGCAGATGAGCTCACAGCAGTGCCTGGCCCATGGAGGCCCTCAGGAGGACAGCCATCCCCTAGTCGCCTCATGTGGCAGGAGGTGACTGTGAGTCAGGCACTGTTGGCGGGCATCGGTGCTGAGGGGAAGCCCTGCCCACCCAGGGAAGGGCCTGGGCCAGCGGGCACTATGAGAGGGCGAAGAGCTGCGCTGCAGGGCCGTGGACGCCCCAGGCCCAGCAGGCCCTCCCGCCATGGCCCTGCAAGAGAAGGGGCAGGGAAGGGGCAGCGCCCACGTTCTGGCCTAGAGGAT